AGATAGGAGGCAGTGAGCTCCACATTAATCTGTTTGTTTACAGCAGCTTCACAATCCTGGTGATAGTTTTGACTAATCTGGGAACTGATTTTGCGATGAGTAGTTTGTTTTACTTTCCTCACCACCAAAGTGACAAATTTAGAACCAGCATCAACTACACGAGAAAACATCACTTCCTTGGGACATTACTTATACTCCAGGAGGAGACCCTCATTTTATTAAGTAGGAAATGACATCATCAGTGATGGCTAATCACTCTTGTTAATCAATTGATCAGCTGCCATGTCCAATCAGTGCAGGATGGGAATTGGGTCCTAAACCGATCAGAATTGACAACTGGTTAATGATGGAACTGCTGTTTGACCTTTCACCTCCCGCACAAGTGCAAATTCTGTAAGTATTTCTACATGAAAATGAGAATAAAATATCCTCTAAAACTTCACTTTTCTATCTGAGGTTATGCATTAAAACACGCTCATCACAGATTGGCAGAATCCTGTCAGTTTGTTACTCTGAGGGATTTGCCTTTGCACCTTTTGAATGTCAGTGTTGGAGTTCATCGAAAAATGGCTAGAATTTTTCGACAGTAAACATTTTCCAATTGCTATACAGCAACAGAAATAATGTGCTTTTGGATCATCTAAAACACGCAACCAATGTACTTTGTGGATCCATTCTGAATCTGCTGTGATCTCCTTAACCTTGGGTCTCATGAAGCCCAGTTTGAAAACCAAAACATTAAATGTGCGGATTGCCTCAGGCACACAGTAGGCCTCAGGCCTCCCTGTCTGAATTGCTGTAGGAAACAGATCGCACATTCAACGTTTCAATCTCCATGTTCAGTTTTTAATTTTTTGACCTCGAACTAGCCGTCAACTCAAGCATGTTTCCAAGTGGAGACTTTCTGGTACAGTTTACATTGCATTGTGTAGAAAGTACAGCTCAGCAACTGGCTTCCCAGCCCAACTTGGTCCATACCTGCATCTGCATTGATATGAGGGTCTCT